GTCATGTCCCATGGGAAACCTTTCCTGATGGCCCCAGTTGCTAAGGTCTCCTTTCTATAGGCATGTGTGTGCTGCTAAATGTTTAATAACAGCTGTCTCCACAGAACACCCACTTTTTAGTTTAATTTGCATTATTAACATTATTGCCATCACTTTCTTAAGTCTATACAATCAACAAAACAATAAATCAAGCCCTTGTTTGTAGTTTGCTGATTTTTGAGGTATAAATGCTTACAATAAAAATTTAATAATGGGCTCCTAAGTACAAGCCAACTTCAGCACACCATGGCTCATGAATATATGTAACACAAGAGTTACCTCATGGAGTAAGTATGGGGTAAATAAGTCTGTCTTTCCCCTGTCCCTTTTGGCAGCTTCTTTAGTAAAGAGAATAATGGGACACTTAGTATACTTTAAAAGGAGAGAAAACATCTCCCACTTTCTTCTTCCTTTCTTTCGAGCATGTGGCTTGAGACTTCAACAGCTCTTTCATATGGGGGCCACCAGAAGGGGGCAGGAGAAAGCCTAGCCCACGATCTATTAGATGGCCACCATTAACCTGTGACACTTTATTTTCCCTCTTCAGAATGTAAGCTCCTCGAGGGACTTACTTCATTTTTCAGTCTTTTTATCACTAGCACCTAGCATAGGGCCTGGTATTTAGCAGGGAATTAAATGCTTGTTGATTGATGATTAAGGGTTGAGAAACTGAGAAATCAAATTGATTTTACTGATTCTATTTTGTTATTGATTCTATTCTGTATCACTGCTGCCATTTTGTATAACTGCCAAAGTCATGCTTCTTTGTCTTTGAGGTAAGTTCAGAAGTACATAGGTTCAGAAGTTCAGTTTTTCCATTCTGAGTGAAGTTTAAAAGTTCAGTTGCCCTATAAGTCACTTTAACTAAAAGGAAATCTGTTATCATTATACCACTAGCTGTCCTTGTACCATTAGAGGAATTTTGTTATCTATACACCATTAGTTAGTCTTGCAGATGGACTCAAACAATCAGCATTTCCTAGTGACAAGATGAAAGGAGAAGTTGTTGTTAGGGCCATATTCCCAATTTCTAGTCACTTATATTGTCTTCTCTATCTATGATACCCCAAGCTTTGTAACCAATCATATTGTTTTCTGTTGCCTTCTAGTTTTTGAATGTTCTTCCTTTTACCTATAAAAATTATCTGTCAGCCCTCATTCAAGGTCTTAGCTTGCTGAAGAGGCTGAGATCCTATTTACTGGCAAATTCATGCTTTGCTAACAAATTGATCTTGCTTAGAACTTTGTACCTCAATTTATTTCTATGACAACAGGCATTGCTTATACAGCATGATATTTTGCTTGTTAAATGATATGTGCTTCTATATACTTCTGACATTAGTATTCAAGAACTTTGGGGAAAATATGTTCTAAATTTTAGAACACCTCATGGTGTCTTCTCCTTAGCCAGTCCTGAAGTCAATAAATTTTGCCTTGTGTAGAACCTTTATTTCATCCTTTATCTGATCAAAATAAGTGAATAGTTATTAAGCTTTAGTCTTACACAATCATCACCACAACGTATTTAGACAAAAATTGAATCATTTTCAGCTAACTCATTTCTAGGGGAGTTATCTGTGATGAAGGTAGCCTTTATTACGGTACAATCAGGCAGATCTTAGAGATTCTTTTCAAAATCTGACTGGCTAATTATCCTCTTCAACACCTTACTCCAAAATAGAAAATTTTTCAAGATCTCTGTCTTTCTGACTCCCAAGAACCCTCAAACTCACTCACTCTTTACTGCCTACATGAAAATCGTTCACAAGTTACTTTTGAATGGGCTAGAGCTGGTAAAGTTTCCCTTCCTTTTTCTTTCCTTATTCTGTTCCTTATCAGAGACTCCCCTGGTGCTTTTCTTAGTTCCTGAGTACAGGCAAAAGAGAGAGAAACCCTTTTCTTAAACCCAGTAGCTATTTCTCTTTCAGTACACTTGGGTAACTGTAGGAAAAGGAGAAGGCAGATGCTATTTATTATTCCCTCAAGGGATAAGGCAGGAATTGTATCAGGTATGTATTTGTATCCCCACCACAGAGCACAATGACTGATTCACAGTAGGTGCTTAATAATAAAAGCTTATTGTTTGCCTGCGGCATCCCTGGTGCTGAGGCAGACTCAGTAGTTTGAAGGACCTAGTTCCTCTTTATCTCTAGGTCCACTAGGGCCCCCTTACCAATCGGCTCTTTTTGTCTTCAAACAGGTACTTCATGGCAGTCTGTAATTGCTGGTCATCAGTCTGTCGGAAATCTGCCAGCAGCTTCTGGGGCTGGTACAGAAGGTTCTCCAGGTAATTTTCCATGGTAGCCTGAGAATGAAGGGGATAAAAGCAAATTGACCCAGGACGGATGCAAGGATGCCTTTCAGATTGGCTAGTCACCATGCTTTTCAGTTTCCCTAGAGGCCTACATTTAAAGAAAGCACAAAGCCAGTAAGGCCTGCCACGCATTGCAGGACTCACAATCAGGGCTAGCTTAGAAGCCTCTGTCTCATCACCCCTCACATGATCCCAACAAGAGATGTAGGGAGCTGGAGAGAGTAGATATGGATCCCTTTTCCTTGGGACAAGGAAGCAGGGATACTATGGTCTTTTCTAGTTGACATGGTTACTTCTTGGGAGACTGTTTTGATTCTTGCTTAGACAGGGCACCTCATTCTTCCTGGATTTTCTGGGGAGGGAAGCTCATATTACAGAGGTTTTTGTTTTGGATTCCTTCCTGCAGAGGAAGGACAACAGCCAAAAAAGCTAACTGTACTCCACACAGTCAGGACACAAACACAGAGAATACTGCCCCTCGAATAATCCCTCCTTCAGGTCATCCCCCTTCCCCTCCCCCCCAAAAGAAGAAAAATCCCCACAGGATGAATACAAAGGAAATAGAAAACAAGTTCCAGTGCCTCAGGGAGTTTACCATCTAAACACATAGGAAAACACATGTGCATATAACAACTACCAAAAACAAGCCACATCTAACACCTCACTTCTTTTCTGTCTACTTACCAGGGCATAGTTTTCCCATCTAATCAGTAATACTACTCTCAAAGGGAGCTCCCAGAAGATCCTCCCTAAGCCTAGCTACTTCTCCCCGAACATATTTGGGTCACTGAAGGAAAAGGTCAGCAGAGCGAAGGAGACGCTATGTGTTGTACTCCCCAATTAGAAGGCAAGCCCCTTGAAAACAGATCGTTTCTCTTCTGTATTTGCATCCCTACAGCTTGGCACAATGCTTGATACATAGTAGGTGATTAAAATCAATATCTGATTTCAGTGGAAATAATCACTACCATGCACAATTCTTGAAGAGTCTTCCTAAGGCTGTGGGAAGCCTGGCTGAGAGCCCAGGAGATAAATTTAATGGCGGCGGCAGCTACAAAATTTTCAAGGATCCAAGTCAAAGAAATGGGTCCAGTGATACGACTATGCCTTGAAAGTGAGATTACACAAACCTGAAGACTGCTCACAGTAAAGGCAACATTTCGTGAATGGAAATAGGCCATGAGTCTTTGGGATAGGTCCGAGGTCCACACATTAGAACTTTAATTGGAAACACAGAGAAGACACAGGTCAAAGGATCTGTTGTGGTCAATTACTGATTGCCTGAGTTAATGGGAAACAAGGATGTGGAGAATAAGGGCAATGAAAATAAATAAGTCAGTAGTAGAATATCACAAGAGGTGATAATAATGATGATAATGATAATAATAATTCACCAAACTATTCAATAATATAATAACAATCCACTAAAATTAAGATGAAAGCCTTCCAGTTTAAGGGAAATCTAGTTTGGTAGTTTCATTGCAGCCCCATCTGTGATCCTATTTTGTGACTTTATTAAAAATGCATTTAGCTCCCACGATATTCCACATCCTGTGAAAGACACCGACCCACACCAACCTCATCTTTCTTTCCCAAACCTATAGTTCTTAGAGTAATGTTCTAGAATGTACAAAACCTTGTATTCTTTGTATTACCTCTGAAACTGGATTAAATCCAGAAGAGCTGCATGGGGAAATAAAACAGAAAGACAGCTTAAAACTGAATCACCGCAGAGAGATCAATGTTGCAATTGCGTTTGAAACCATAATGAGAAGCAAGCAAGATCCCATGGAACATATTACCATTCAGATATCTTCCCTCTATTATTTCTTCCTAGAAGGCACAAGAGATAAAGTCAAGTATTATCCCCCAATGTTAGTGTGTTACAATAGAAGGAATTTTGATTAAAAGAAGATTGAATACTCACTGCCATTTTCTGCAGTAACGGATGCAAATCTGTTTAAAAAAAAAATCCAGTGAGCATGTAACTATAGTTGGATTATTCAACCTTCTAAAATATAAGCGTACCATAAATGAAAAGCAAGAAGAGACATATGAGGGTAATTCTTGATGAACTGTTACCACAAATACCAACCTGTACATAGGATGAGACATTTAGAATAACTCTGAAAACTTCAAACATAATCACCTGGCTAGACACAAACTTCTTCCCCATCTTAGAATATCATGTACCTAAACTGATCTAAACTTATTATAATACATTCCATAGAACTTTTCCAATGCATGGAAAATCACTTCTTCCGGACTTACCCTGCCTAGAATTTGGAGATTTCAAAGCTGCGACTGAATCACCCATCAAGAAAAGAAGCAGGAAATAAATTCTGGGTTCTCCGAACATTATCCTATGATTGATTCAGGTAAAAGAGACATTTAGGTTTGCAAGAAGAAACAAAGAAAGAAATAAAGAAAATTATGAAGAAAAAGGAAAGAATTTCAAAAGACCACAAAAGCCCCTTAAACTTTTATAATAATAGTGAAATTTTTTATTTTTAACATAACCAGACTTATTCACATGTGTAGCATTTATATGTTTATGCAAATATATAGACACAGGAAAAAAAATGTTGATTTTGGAGTTAGCCTACCCAGGTTCAAATTCTAGGTTGGCTAGTTACCTGCTTTGTGACCTCAGGCAGTCCTTTCCTGGCCTTAGTTTTTCTTATCTGTAAAATGAGAGAATTAGAGGATCTCTATGTCCCTGGCCAACTCTAATTCCTATGATCTCTGATCTCCTATATAAAATTTTTGAATATTCAGCAACTTAGTTTTTAACGAGTAAATTAGGTTATCAGTTGAATAATCCCTGTCTCTCTTAGGAATCTTAAGCATCTTGAAGGTAGGGGCTGTTTCTTCACAAACTATATAAAAATCACCAAGGAACTAAATGTGTCACTCACACAACTCAATAAGTGTGGTCTTAAGTAACTAGTACAATTATGCTTTCTATCTCATAGTAGTCATTGCCTCAGTTTACACTGAGGCTCAACTCCTCTCAAGGAATAATCACCCATTAAAAGTGTTAAATCTGTGATGTCCTTTTTTTATCACACCAAATTTCCTTGAATTTTCATGGGTTCACAGGATTTAAAGCTGGAAGGACCTTAGAGATTATCTAGTCTAGCTTCTTCATTTTACATTTGAAGAAACTGAAGTCCAGAAAGGGTACCAACCTATTAAATGAGTCGAGCCAATGGAATTTTCTGCTAGCAACAGATAAATCCTCATCCATCAATGTGGCTTTCTGAGGCTGCCTACCATTTGAGCAGGAACATGCTGTACCAACCTAGAGAAGCCTCTTGTATACCTTAGGCTGCACTCACGCCCGTGGACTAGAATGCTGCCAGACCTAAGAATGACAGGGAGGAGCGAATGAAACTACCTTTGTGGAAAATCTTAACACTGCCACCACATTAATCTTCCTAAAAGACATTACCTCAATCCCCTGCTCAAAATCTTTCAATGTTTTCCTGGCACCTGCAGGATGAAATGCAAAAAAAAAAAAAAATGTGACCTTGGCAATTAAAATCCTTTATAATCAGGTCCTACCTTATCCATTCAATCTTATTTCCTACTACTCCCCTGCAGGAACCACTTGTTCCAATATTGTGAGAAGAATACACTGACAAACCTTAAAGTTCTACATAAATTTACGGATTTTGCTGTTCAGTTGTTTCCGTCTTGTTTGATTCTTTGTGACCCCATTTGGTATTTTCTTGGCAAAGATACTAGAGTGACTTGCCATTTCTTTCTCCAGCTCATTTTACAGATGAGGAAAATTAGGCAAATAGGGTTAAGTGACTTGCCCAGGATCACACAGCCAATGTGCATTTGAACTCAGATCTTCCTGATTCCAGGTCTGGCACTCTATACACTGTGCCACCTAGCTACCCTAGATTCATGCTAGCTATGTTCTCATCTTGTTGTCTGATTCTTAAGTTTTATATTGTTATTTGTCACATATCTAACTTAGACAGCAAGGTGGTACAGTGGATATTGTCAAGATCTGAATTTGAATCTTGCCTCGGACACTTAATAGCTGCATGACTCTGGTCAAGTCATTTAAACTCTCTCAGCCTCAGTTACCCCATCTGTAAAAAACAGGGATAATGTTTGCACTTATTTCACAGGATTGTTGTGAGAACTGAATGAGATAACATGCAAAAAGAACATTTTATAAACCCTAAAAAGCATCATCTAAATACTAGATATTACATTATTTTTGTCATTGATATTTTTAAAATTAAATAAAAATTAAGATTATATTATTAAAATAAAAATGATATTAATAAAATTAATTTAAAATGTCTCATTTAGATTGTAAGTTCTCTACAAGAAAAGGCTATATGTAACATTCTCCTCATTTCCCATAACACTGTTTCACTCCATCATGCTTACTGAACAAAGTGCAACTCCAGAAACCCAGAAAGATCATACCCCTAAAAGATTCCTCACTATAACCCTTCAGACAAATCCTATTTTTGCTGGAAGGCCTCCAGTGGAGGAGCAGCTACTATCACCTGAGGTAGCCCACTTTACCTTTCAGTTAACCCTAATCATTAAGAGATTTTTTGGGTGGAGAGGGGTCATATCAAGCCTAAATTTTCCTCTTACCTCTCATTACTCCTGGTTCTGTTTTCTGTGACTAAAATGAATAAATGTGATTATTTTTCTATATTACAGCCTTTTGTAGCAAGACCCCTCCCCTGGAGTAAATGTGGACTTGAGTTGAGTTCCCCAGGCATGCATTCAGAGCTGAAGTATTTGGGGGTGACACAGCAACCCTTTGGTCCCTGTGAGGGCAGCAAGGGAGAGGACTACGTCACTGTGGCCCACTCAGCCACATTTAATTGGAGTGACTCTGCTTCTCTGATCCTCTTTCTCTTCCTATCAGCCAAATGTGTGGAAACTTTTTGGAAGCTTTCTCTTAGACATTCTGTGGTGTGGAGAGATGATTCATCTTCCTTTGTACCACATCCCCCACAGTTATGGAAGCTGTTCACACATTGCAGTAGTCATATGTTTGGCTTATGTGAGTCTGAGCCTGGACCTCAGGTCTCTGGCTGCCTCTTCTGCTTGTGTTTCTTTTCCCGAGTATAGGTAACTAAACAGCCATCTGGAGATAGAGTCCTCAAGTTCTTTGGAGTTATGGTTTGGCTTATCTTTCTGTCAGCGCTCATCTTCTCTGAGAAGGCAGAAAGCAGCACCTGCAGCCTATCAGCTTGATTGAGGGACTTAAGAATGATGGACCTCTCAAACTCATGAAGTTGTTTCAAACGCTAAAAATATGCATCATAGGATTGCTGTTCTACCCCATCCTCCAAGAGGAAGTCTGTTGCCCTTATGGGACTAAAAATTGTTTGTATCATTCCAAAGTCCTTCAGCTCTGAGCACATGTGTCCCCTTAAGTGGCCAGAGGAGCTCAGCTCAAATCCATTCATGCTCTCTGGGTTGAGCCCTCCACTATACTTTCAAGTACTTGAAGAAAACTATCATGTCCCCTTCATCAGTTAGAAACCTCTCTCAGAACTGATGATGAACTCTGAGGGCAAACTGAAACATAATTTTTCACTTTACTTTTCTGGTGTTTTGTGACATAGTTAATATGGAAATGTTTTGCATGATTTCACATGCATAATTGATATCATATTGCTTGCCTTCTCAATTTTAAAAAGAATTCTCTCTCATGTCTATATCTCTGTCTCTGTCTCCTTTTCCTTCTCTCTCTCTCTCTGATTCTCTCTCTCTCTCTCTCTCTCTCTCTTCCCCCCCCCCCCCGTCTGTGTCTCATAGGATCTGTGACTACACTGGTGTAGCGTATTCCTGGAATGGAAAATTCCTCCACAAATGCATACTGGCAGCTGCTCTATAACTTAGAGAGTGTTAGAAAGTTGTCTAGGGGGCACTGAAAGGGTCAGTGCCTTGCCTGGGTCACACAACCAATATATATCAGAGGCAGATCCTGGACTCAGTCTTCCTGAGCCACCTAGAGAGGTGGATCAGAGGATCACTATACCACACTGCCTCACTAGAAATTATATTATCTCTTACTGGGGGGATAAAACAATGGTAACTTAGAGGATAGAATCCCAGGGCTATATTTTTGAGAGATCACTGTCTCTGCTGCAAGATCATACTTAAACCCTCCTAGAAAATTGTTGAAAAGAGGATCCTGGTACCTTGTGTCTTCATTATAGTTTGTTTGCCCTTTCTGAAGAAACAAAGCTGGAGCAAAGCATCAAGGTACTACTGGGGAGGTACCAGGATGTCCCTCTTTACACAAGTAAGCTTTTCTCTTTAACAACCTTTAGAGGAACCCCAATTCCTTTCTATTACCTACTTCAGGGTCTCACAACCCTTACCAGCACAAAGGTCTTCCTTAAAGCTGACCCAACTCCCCCACACAGCAACTTAAGCTTATCTTCTTTGGTTTCACCAAGTGGAAAAAAATTGGCCACCAGCTTTCTGTGTGATAACCCTACATGGCCTTGAAGGCTGATATATAATGTCTGTATGTATTTTAAATATTTTAAAATGGTTCTTAAAGAGGATGCAAGAGTTAAAACAGAATTTGATCATATTGCCTTATTTGCTCTGCTCTACTTACAAGTGGAGTTTCCTAAGGTAACTTCCACAGCCTGGTTTGGAAACAATTGTTTTGATTTTATTGCACTCCACAGTCATAGAATCCCAAAATTGGAAGTGTCAAATGCTAAAATGAATTGAAAACTTCTTTCAGATTCCTGAGGCATACCCTTTAAACTTGGGTTATAAAAATTACTGGGAAGACCTTGTTTTGAGGTTATTCATGCATTCATTCATCGAGTATGAGTCCAAAAGATCCCAAAGCACTGTGCTTTCTAGAAACTTTTGCTGCTGGTGGTACATGGTGGTCCCTATCTGTAATTTCTGTTCCTGGGAGGGCCTGGGGTGGGCATGAGGCTGGAGGATCACTTGAGTTTGGGAGTTCTAAGCTGTAATAGGTCTAAATCTGATCAGGCGTCCACACTAAGTCCAGCATCAATATAGTGAGTCCCCAGTAGCAGGGGACCACCAAGAAGTCTAAGGAGGAGTGAACCAACCCAGATCAGAAATTGAGCAAGTCAACGCTTCTTTCTCAATTAGTAGTGGGACTGGGCCCATGTGGAGCAGCTGTACTTCCAAACTGGGTGATATGGGAAGACCCACCACAAAAAAAGGAAGAAAAAAAAGAATGAAACTTTTGCTTTTGACCCTCTGTTTCACAGAATCCCCTGGGCAGCTGTTCCACTGGGTGCTCAACAGGGCACTGGCCTCATTCAGAAAGATCTAGTTTCTCAGACAATGAGGTTTCTTGTGTTTGTTGCTTCTTTCTCCCTATTAACTTCACTGGGAGAGTTTAAAATTACACTAACAACTGCTTCTACTGCTTTCTACCAGGCATAATTTATTCATTCAAACTAAACTCTGACAGATTACCAGTGTAGAATTTGGTTTTAATTCAAGGCATTTCAGGTCACTCTATTTTTAGGAAATTAGCAAACAGATCAAAAAAACCTGAGGAAAATGGTTGTTTGGAAACTGATAGTTTTCTCCCTATCCCATTCCTTCCCCACAAAAAACAAAACTAAATTTTAAAAAATTCATTCTGTGGCTACATGAGAAAATTTGTACATTCCAAAATTCTCATTTAATGAAACAAGGAAAATGCATACATATGGCTATAGACAGAGGTACCTAACTCTCTTTCTCTCTATATACACATAGTGAAATCTTCTACAAGGGCTTTATAAAGTCCCATAAGGTCCATTTGGAACAATAACCAGTCAGTCTTCTCCTCACAATTAGCACATTGCCAAATCTGTGCCATAACTATAATTGTTTGTCTCCTTTCACACTTGCATAGGAAAGGCTATGATATTGTTATCCCTTGCACAGTATTGTAGATGACTTACTGTGGGTCTGTCCCATGGAAGAGATGAAAATCCAACACAGTAAAAATGGAAGAAGAATCAGGATAATGTTCCTTATTTGTATTACTCTCCTGCAAAGATATGTTTTCAAACAACCATCAATATTCAGATACTGGACTCTTGCTGTGTCACCTAAGGTTTGATTCCATGAAAGTAGAGGCAGAAGTAAACACTGGTAAAGAACATTGCCCTTTCAGAGTAGGGACCTTGGGAAAGCCCATCTCTGAAATACTATTGTTTACTATTACAAAAAGCAATGTTTACAGCATTCAGCCAATATTAGTTTGAACTGGAAAAAAAAATCAAAGGATGTTTTCTTTTAAAATACAATTTAAATCAATGAAGCACCTGTCTACCTACATTCTTCGCATTTGAAACTTGCATTGATGTGGGATTTGGGAAGTAGTAAGAAAAGGGCTTAAGTATTTTATAATAAATATAAGAAATTTGACAAACAAAACAGAACATGAACTTCAGATGTTTAGGTCTGAAATTATATTGAAATAAATTGAAATAAACTATATTGAAATAAATAAAAAACCAAAAACACATGCAAGCATTAAATAACTTTTTTCAAAATGCAGCAGATTACATCAATAAATGTTATAGTAGAAAGTATACTGTTATAATAGAAAGAATACTGGACATGGAGTCAGAAGAGTTGGGTTTGCATTCTTCCTAATTCTCTGGTTATCCTGTGAGACCATAAATTACTCAACCTCCCAAAGCATCAGTTTTACTCATCTGAAAAATGGGCATAATTCTTGAATTACCTCATTAGGGTGATTGCAGAGAAAGCACTTTGCAAACCTTAAAGTGCAGTGTAAATGCAAGTTACTACATGCGTGATAATTTAAAATTGAAGATCCTATGATCTGCTGCTTTTCTCTACCTTGTAACAGAATTTGATTATGTTTTCTTAAAAGGTGCTTTTCAATAGAGAACCTAAAGCCAAAAGGAAAATACTTTTATGTGTGTGTGAGTGTGTGTATGGGGGAGGGTGGGGGGTGGGGGGAGATGGGTGGTTCTGTGAAATCCTTTTCTACATTACATTCCTTATTACAGAATGGAGAGTCAAAGAGCAAACTTAGCAAATACACGGAAGGGAGACTTCTGAGAGACAGGAACAGAGTACACATATATAATCTATTTCTACATATGTTCTAAATTTTTTTTTCTTAAGGTTTTCTCAGGGTCATGGGGTTTTAGAATGCCATAAGAAATAAAGAATGCTACAAAACAGAACACCTGGTTAGGTTAGTAGGGGGTTAATTTTTATTTTATTTTAAACTTGTAATCAGTTGCACCTAATGAAATTCAGGAAATACTTGCTCATTTTTCATAAGATCACAGATGTAGAAGTCATCTTAGTCCAATCCTCTCATTTCACATAGGAAGAAAAAAAGTGAAATTCAGATTAGTTGTTACCTAAGCAGGCAATATTTTAACCCAGGTCCAAAACCAGCACTCTTTCCACTGGTCAGTGTTTTGATTCCAAGCTGACCCAGGTGATCTGGGCTCCCAGTAACAGGCTGAGGTAACCTCCACACCAAACAGCAGCCCCCTGAGTTCCCAGAATCACACCTCTTACCAAAGTGCTATTATTATTTACCAAGAGACAGCCAGACACAACAGATGGAGTTCCACTCAGCTTTGGAGTCAGAAAGCGCTGCTTCTGAGACTAAACAGCTGCATGACCATGAAGACACGGCAGTTGGTCATAAAGAGTTCCCCATACAAATAAAATCACAGGTCATGACCTCCCATCACTATCCACCAAAAACGACTTGTAACAACAGTAATTAATGCGTAAGCTTACAGTCTCTTCCACAAACTCAAAAGGCTCCTATCAGGTAGCTCGGTTTCTTTCCAGGTGAGTTATCACCTACACTTCTTCCCCAAACTCACCTCCTCCTGGTTCTGTGGATAAAACAGGCCAGTCTTCCCAGCACTTTTCACTCCTCCCTGCCGACCCTTAGAAGTCCAGGGTGTGGAGAGAAGTGTTGGGATGATGAATACCTGTGCTCAGTGGGAGGGCTCATGTCCTTGACCCCTACGCCAGAGGCCTCCTCCCTCCACCTCCTTCGGAACTAGTGCCAGCGATTGGCTGAGTTCAAACTCTTTCCTTTGGCCCCGTCCCCATAAACCCCCATTCCCTCCCGTCCCCTCTCTCTCACCTGCTCACTCCCTGTGCAGCAGTCGCACTAGGTCAGCCTGCCCTGAGCGGGGACCAGGATGGACCGGCTGCCTCACCAGCACTGGACACACCCAGAGCTCTCCCCACCCCACCCCGAATCATCCGCCACCCCCACCACAACCCCCACTATTTCCCCACTGAAGAAGGACGTCCGGCCTGGGAGAAGGCCAACACATATTCCCCACAGGCATTGCGGGGAGGCACAAGAATGAACTAACTTTTCCCCTCAGCCTTACGTACTCCATACGGGACTGTAATCAGAGTCATCACTCTGAACATCCCCAGTTTGAATTATTCTTCCTCCACCACATATTTGGAACCTGAGGCACTGAGAACAGTAATACGTCTGGGGTCATGCTTCTACTTGGGTGTCTTATTAGAGCTCTGTAACTATGTATCTGCCCTGTCAGTTTAAAAAAAAAAAAGTTCACTTAAAGGGCTAAATTACATCTTTACTAAGTTGAGTAAAATATAAACGCGTAAATGTAAATATAAAATAAAAATATAAATGTTAGTTACAAATGTAACTGTAACACTGGTCATGCTTGAAGTATCATTGATTTATTCACAGGAAGGTAAACGTGCCCAGTCCAATATCGACATTCCCCTGCAGTTGTTTCTATTCTGGCGGAGAGGAGCAGTCTATTTTCAAAAGCTTTGGCTATGATCATGCTTTTTTACACAGATCTAGGGAAATATTTGTAAGTGTCTTCTTCCCAGCCCCTAGTTTCCTCCCCATATACATCGTATGATCATAGTTTGTAGTTTTTTGTTTGTTTGTTTAATAAAAACTTCAAGAGGCCCACATAGGAAACACTGTATTGTGCTGGATTCCCAAAAATCCTCGGTTTCTTTCATCAGTGGCACTCTCTTAAGACTTGGAAGTTTTTTGGTTGTTATTTAGTCATGTCCAACTCTTATTTACTTGTCAAAGATGTGATTTGCCATTTTCTTCCCTCTCTTATTTTACAGATGAGGAAACTGAGGCAAACAGGGTTAAGTGACTTGCCCACCTAATAAGTGTCTGAGGATGTATTTGAACCCATGAAGATGAGTCTTTCTGACTCTAGGCCTGACACTCTGATCCGTTGAACTACCTAACTGCCCTGTGTATGGTAAATATGATAATATTGGACTTGGGGTCAGGAATACTTGCGTTCAGATCTTATCGCTGATATTTAACGACCTCTGTGACCACTGGGAAGTTACTGATCCTCAGTTTTCTCATCTATAAAATGGAGCTATAATGTCTGTTGTACCTACCTCATGGGTAGCTTGTGTGGCTCAAATGAAGTAATCTATGGTAAAGTTTACGAACATAGAAGTCTATATATTTGGTTTTGGACTTGAATGCTTGTTAGAGCCTAAATAACTCAGGCTGTAAAGCTTCTATGTTCTTTATATTGGTTCATTTTATTCTGATGTAACAAACACCAATTGAAATGAGCATTTCCATAGATACATAGAACAGAAAAAGATGATTGTGCATGAAACTATGAATACTATGTAGGCCTTGCTTTTCTTTTTAAATATATATTAAATATGTAATTCTTAAAGCTGTTTTGATTGTCGTTTGATTCCTTCTAGTAAAACTTCCACATTCACTACCTTATTACCTATTCTAATGGAAACAAGGTGTTAGTTTCCCAATAAGATTAATGATCCAGAATTTAAAAGGGGCCATTTAATCCAACTCCCTTATTTTACAGATGAGGACATTGAGACCCATAAAGGTTAGGTGACTTTACCAAGGTCATACAGGTCATAAGTGTCAGAGGCAGGAGGATATGATTTTAGGACCTTTGACTTCAGAATTGAATGGTCAAAAGATATGAACAGTTTTCAAAAGTAGAATTGCAAACTCTCAAAGACTAGATTTTTAAAAATGCTCCAAATAACTAATCTGCAAAGTGCATATTAAAAGGACACTGATGTTTTACCTCACACCCAGCAAGTTGGTAAAGAGAACAAAAAACTAGAAATAGCTAATGCTGGAGGGGCTGTGGGGAAACAGGCATACTCATACACTCTTGGTGGAGCTGTGAGTTGATTCAATCCTTATAAAGGCAGTGGCTTTTAACCTTTTTTTTTCTTTAATGTTATGGATCCCTCTGGTAGTCTAATGAGACCTATGGATCCCTTCTCAGGATTTTTTAAATGCATAAAATAAAATGCACAGAATTGAAAAGGAAACAAAAAAAAGAAAAATAAAAAAAAGGAAACCAATTATAATGCACCAATTATACAGCACTCAAAATATTTTTTTTTTACAAGTTCTCAGGACCCCAGGTTAAGAACCTTAGGGAAATCAATTTGGAATTATGTAAGGAAAAAGTGACTAAAGCGTTTATATTTTTTGACCAAAGATGGGATCTCCCTAGGTAAAATGAAAAAAGAAGGAAAAGTCTAATTAATATATACCAAAATTTTCATAGTAGTCCTTTTTTTTGTGAAGGAGGATAGCAAAGAACTGGGAAATAAAATGGGTGCCCATCAGTGAGGGAATGACTGAACAAACTGCAGCTTAGGGGGCGTAATGGGATGTTTTGTCAAAGAAATGAGGAATTCAGAGAAATACAGACATACAGACTGATGCAGAGGGAAGCACAGCAGAATCACAAAAGCTTTAATGTATGTGTGTATGGATCTTTATAGCTACATACAGACACAGTAATAACTGTAATGTAAATGTAAAGAATACAGAGAGAAAAATGAACTCTGAGTAATTACAATAACCAGTCTTGGTCCTTGAGAAGAGATAATGAAACATGCCTCCTTCTTCTCACTACAAATGTGGTGAACTGCAGAGGCAGAATGTTGTATCCATTGTCAGATACACTATTAGATGTCTTTAACTTTTTATTTCTAGGGGGAGTTCATTCAGGGGAGACAAATGCAGAAATGACTGATGTAAAAACAAAAAGTGTCAATAAGACATACTTTTAAAAACAGAAATGAGGGGGCAGCTAGGTGGCACAGTGGATAGAGCACCGGTCCTGAAGTCAGGAGGACCTGAATTCAAATCTGCCCTCAGACTAAACACTTGATCCTTACTAGCTGTGTGACCCTGGGCAAGTCACTTAACCCCAATTGCCTAAAAAAAATTAATTAATAAAACAGAAATGAGGTATTTGTATCCTTAGTGCTTAGAATAGTGCCTGGCACATAAGCAGGTGCTTAATAAATGTTTGTTGAATTGAATTGAGCCAATAAAGCGGGCAGCTGGGTGGCAAAGTGGATAGAGCACTGGGTTTGGAATCAGGAACACTCATCTTCATGAGTTCAAATCCTGCCTCAGACACCAGTAGTGTGACCTTGGACAAGTCACTTAACCTTGTTTGCCTCAGTTCCTCATCTGTCAAAGGAGCTAGAGAAGGAAATGGCAAACCACTCCAGTATTTTTGCCAAGAAAACCCCAAAATGGGGTCACAAAGAGTCAAAAACAACTGAACAACAAAAATAGAACAAAGTGAATGGTAAATCACCGCTGAGTTTACTGAATACATTGCACAGTGCCTCATCTAATAAATATTTTCTGAATGCAGATGTTTAGTCGTGAATAATTAACTCTACAGTTTGAAAGTTATTTCAATGAGGAAAATGTTTATGTTGACTTATGACATTGAAAAAAAACACAAAACACTGCATTTCTGTAGCTGGTCCCACTAAACAAAGACATACTTTCAGATCACTTTAGGAATGAGGGAGCTGTTGTAGTCTGGGATATTTATTTTAGAATAGTGGCATCTGAAACAGAATGGAGCAACTGATGCAAAGTTCTTTCCTCCCTTAAGATTATGTGAATGAACACACTGCTTGGACAGATAGATGGTAGTGATTTATAGTGGAAAGAATTTAAGACCAGAATTTAGGCCCTGGATATACCACTAACTAGTTGTGTGCGAGAATAAACAAACTATTTTTTTTGCCATCTAATGATCCTGTGCTTCTTCAGGGGTAAAGCAAGTATTTCTTACCTGTGTGACCTGGATCAAAAATTTTGTGCCTCAGGATCTTCATTTCTTCCTTTATAAAATGAGGGGGAGAGGGGGGCAGCTAGGTGGCAGCTAGGTGGCGCAATGGATAGAGCACCAACCCTTAAGTCAGGAAGGACCTGAGTTCAAATCCCACCTCAGATCAAACACTAGACACTAACTGTGTGACCCCGGGCAAGTCACTTATCCCC